GGGAGCGGCCACTGCACTCCAGTCTGGACGACAGAGTGAGACTCCGACTCAAAAAAAAAAGAAAGAATCGCCAATATGGCCTCCAACCAGTGAAGACCTATGTTAATATGCCCACATGATGTATACAGAAAACATTAAAAGGCAAAAAAACGGAGAAGCGTGATTGGATTAATCGCTGGATTGATCTATCGCCTCCCGCTCTGTCCAGACCCAGTGCTGACTCCCTTGCTGTTGCTTCGTCTATCCTCTGCCTTGGGAGATGGGCATCACCACCCCCATCTTGCAGGCGGTCAAACTAAAAGTCAGAGCCAGTAAGAAACCTGCCCGAGATCACATGACGCTTCAATGGCAGAGCTGGGATTCAAACCCAGGGCTCTCTGAGGGCGCGAGTTTTCTTTCCTTCCACTTGCTTTGCTGTGTGTGTGTGCGCCGGTGTTTATAGGGAACGCGTCACATTTATGTGTAGTCTGAAAAAGAAGCCGTAAATATTGAGGGGACCCAGGGCCCGGTTATACGATCGTTTTCTTGGGCTGTTTCACCCTGGACGAGTCAGCCTGAGGTGGGAACGTTTATCACTCCTAAGGCAGCCCTGTGCAGTGCTGGCCCTACCGCTGCAAGGAGCCTCTTAAATGCACACTCCTCGCCTAGAAAGCAGCAGCAGCCGACATTTGTTGAGGAATTAGTGCATGCCGGGCGCCGGGCTGTGTTTTGCATTAAGTCACTTACTCAGTTCACACCACAAACTGATGAATCTGGTGTCGCCGCCTGCATTTTACAGGTCAGAAAACTGAGGCTGAGGCCAAGTCAGCTGCCCCAAATGACTCTTCAGAAAGGAGGGGAAGCCGCATTTGTGTCCCCAGACCCAGGTCCGGCTGAGAGCCAGACTTGAGAGACAAACGCTGGGGTAGGAAAACAGGGGTCTTCAAGAGTCGGCAACCTGAGGAGATGGCAGACTGATGTCTCAAAGGCCATGCTGAGCTTCTCAGGCTGATGGGAGGCTTTTAAAGGGAAAAGGGCTTGGGAGATACTACGTACAGAGGTTGGGATCAAGAGGTGACTGGGAACCACTGGGCTTCCACGAGGTCCGAGGAGGTCAGGGAGCTCCTTTGTCCTTGGTAAGGTCACAGCATTCTTTTTTTTAAAATTTGAGTCAGAATCTCACTCTGTCGCCCAGGCTAGAGTGCAGTGGCACCATCATGACTCCCACATCCTTGACCTCCTGGACTCAGGTGATCCTCCCACCTCAGCCTCCCAAGTAGCTGGGACTATAGGTGCGCATTATCCCACCTGGCTAATTTTTTGACTTACCCTAGAGATGAGGTCAGACCATGTTGCCCAGGCTGACTTCGAGCTCCTGGGTTCAAGCCATCCTTCCGCCTCAGCCTTCCTAAGTGCTGGGGTGACAAGTGTGAGCCACCGTGCCCGGCCACTCACAGTGTTCTTTTAAATCTTTAACAAAACCTGGTGTACCCACTTCCCCTTTTCCCAGAATCAGTCTCACCAGCTGCATACTTATTTCTGCTGCGTTATCTTTCTGTGCTTTGATGCTATCCTAGGCTACACGCTTGAGTCAAGGCCCCTCGACAGAAGTGGAGTTAGTGATGTTCGATTCGTTGCCGTCTCCCTGTTATGTCTGGCCCCACCCCCTTGACACCGTGGTCTGAGCTCTTGACTGCCGTGACCCACCCATTCTGGTCTCTGCTCTGTGTGTAGCCAGCTAGGGCCCTCTGCTCTGACTCTCACTAGATATCACATTCCCTCCGTTATCAGGTGACCCAGGTGAGGCCATCCAAGCACCAAGGTGACCGCCATGGCATCTGGTTGGACATCAGCCCCCACCCCAATGTGCAGATAAGGAAACTGAAGCCCACATGGCAAGCCCTGGGGAGGTCAGGATGGGCTGAAGCTCTCCTCCCCGCTGTTCTAAGGGGCTGCCTCTGCTGTCCTAAGATGTATGTTCTGGCCCCTCCGGGTCCCCTCGCTGTCAGAATCTGCCTCTGCCAGGCAGATGAGCCTGTTTCCTCAGCTGGGTCACCTGGCTGGATCGAGGGGTTCGGGGGCCCTTTCTGGACTGTCTGCTCCCACACTCTTGGGAGTCTTCTGCCCCGACCGCCAGCCTTGCTATTTTGTGATGCCACGGGTTCGTTCTTGGCCCAAACTCGGGCTCAGACTGCTCTCAGCTTCGCCCAGCAGGTTGCTGTCTGTTGCCAGGACCCTCCCCCAGAGGCGGCAGATTGCTCTCAAGGACAGGCCCCCGTGGACCCAGAGGCTGAGCGGGCGGCCAGGTCAGCAGCCTGGGACCCAACAGGGGCAGCCGGCTCCGTCCCTGCAGCCCCAAGGCCCCTCGCGGTCCCGTGTGGGTGGAGCACAATGTGACCTTCCTGGTGGAGGAACCAGCATGGGGACTGAAAGACAGGAGGCCGGTGGGGAAGGCCAGGTGGAAGGGTGGATGGAGAATTGGGAAGAACGTCCTGGGGAGTCCAAGAGAGGCAGAGGAGATGTGGGCTCGAGGCAGATGAGGAGAGATACCCCCGGCCTCTGGGCTCGCATCCATGGGCAGGACAGGTGGGCATGGCGTTCTCAGGCAAGGCAGCTCTGGCAGCCCGCCCAGCCATCCCCGCGGCCTCAAGAGGATGGGGCGAGGGAAAGGGTGCCGCTCTGGGCAGCTTTCTGGGCAAAGTGGGGCTGGAATTAGGTCCAGAAGGA